TGGCTCACGCCTGTAATCCTAGCTAAGCAGGCTGAGATCTTAGGATCAAGGTTCAAAGCCAGCCTGGGTAGGAAAACCCGTAAGACTCTTATCTCCAATTAACCACCAGAAAACCAGAAATGGAGCTGTGGCTCAAGTGGTAGAGTGCTCCTCGCCTTGAGCTGAAGAGCTGAGGGGCGGCGCCCAGGCACTTGAAGGGAGCAGGAACCTTCAGATACCTGCCCAGCCAGGGCTCTCCTGAGCCTCTGTGAGTTACCTTTAGAGCAGTTCCAACTTTTGCCACAAGATGATAACGAGATGGCATGACCTGTCTGAGGTGCAAGTTTGGCTTTTCTCACAAGGAATTTATAGGTGGTAGATCATGTCTTCCCTAGAGCCCAAGGTGATTGCAGAATGACTGCAGGGGCTCAGGTCAAAGGGCACACACGCACGGTGTGTGTACGTATTGAGGGGGAAGCAGGGAGCTGGGAGTTCAGCTTTCAGTGAATCCATGGGCCCAGCAAAAGCCGCTTTTTTTTTTTCTTTTTCTTTTGGTAGGTTGTGGGTTTTGAACTCTGGGCCTGGGCACTGTCCCTCAGCTCTTTAGCTCAAGGCCAGTGCTCTACCACTTGAGCCATAGCGCCACTTGCAGTTTCCTAGTGGTTTATTGAAATAAGAGTCTCACGGACTTTCATATGTGGACTGGCTTTGAACCACAGTCCTCAGATCTCAGCCTCCTGAGTAGCTAGGATTACAGGTGTGAGCCACTGGTGCCTGGCAGCAAAAACAGCTTTTAAAGGTGCCTCTTACACATGAATGTTCAAAGCAAATGTGCAGAGAAACCAGTGAATTTTACCTCAACTAGAAATTAAAGGGAAAAAATTTAAAAATCTTTCCAAATGGGCTGGACATTAAGGGGAACAGGTATCAGAATAAAAGTATAGCAAGAGGGAACAGACTACCAGCAGACATGTCTAGGAGCTCCTGGGCCAGGCCACTAAGGCTGGATTCTTACCCCAAGGGAAGGGAGGCCTCTTCCAGCAGACCAGGGAACAGAATTGTGCCTCGGTAACTTCCCCCTTGTAGCTTCCAGCCCTGTGTGGTCCTGCGCCTCAGCTCTAGCATGTGCTCACCTGAACTAGGGTGCACACCTCCCTTAGGAAGATCTAGTATGATTAAAAAAATAAATAAAAAAATCAGCCGGGCGCTGGTGGCTCACGCCTGTAATCCTAGCTACTCAGGAGGCTGAGATCTGAGGATCGCGGTTCAAAGCCAGCCCGGGCAGGAGAGACCGTGAG